ACAGATAGGTTGAGAAGCAGTGCAAAATAAGTGAAAAATAAGCATGGTATTCACCATTGCCATGATCATGAATGGGCTGTGTTCAGGGTTCAGGGTCCATCTCTAAAAATAGAACAAAGCCAGATAGATTGTATAACATGATTACAAAATATGCCAAAAAAGGGAAGAAAAATCGGAATGATATTTGCTGTTGTCATGATATTGAAGGGGCTGTGTTCAGGGTCCATATCTAAATATAGACAGAAAAAAAAACAACTCAGAGAAAACAGCTGGAAAATGAGGAAAAAGTGAAGAAACTTGTACACAATAATTTAGCTATATTTGGGCAGATTCCCATATTTGGAGGTGTATCCTGGACCCTGAATACAGCCTCTCCAATAGTATAGCAACATTAAATATCAGAAATGTGATTATATCATCTGACTAGCCTTCTTTCTTATGCAGATATTGGTCAAAATACATGACTATTTTCAAAAAGTGTCCAATTTTTTCAGTATTTTGTGTTTTTCTCAATAAGGAATGATCTGTGTGACATTATTTATATATATTTGTAAAGCTAAGCAAAGGGGCTACAATTCTTGTTAATAAAGCTAAGTGAGAGGCTGTGTTTCTGGTACCGTGGGAAAATTGACCTGAAAAGGAAATTAGGGACAGTTTTATAGAGCATGCTGTTATATTTCTCAATGTGGTCACAAAATGTGACTAGCTATTTTCTTTCCTGAGATATATGCAAAGACACCTATTTATTCATGTTTTTATATATTTTTCTCAATAAGAAATCATCCTGGTCGTATGATTTCAGTACATTTAGAAATGTATGACATGGGGCTATAATTCATGTACTGTGGGAAAAAGTTCCCAAATAAGGAATGTGGACATGCCCTAAACTTCCTGGGTACTTCAAAGCTTCTGGTAAATAATAGTAAACTTTCCCTTTTGAACTTGAACCACCATCATCTTGCTTTGCTGGCACCTTGTTCACTCCATTCTGAGTCAACCACTCATGCTACTGCTACAATTCTTTTTGCTATGGCTTCTAGGCCTTCTCTGCTACACTTCTATGCCCTCTGTATTCTCTTCCAACACCTGGAACATGCTCAGATCTGGAAATACTGGTGTTAGCTCTGAACTTGGTCATTTTTGGCCATGTAAGCCTATTTCTATA